AGGTACAGTATGTCCAATTGGTTTTAGTCAATGAACTTGAATGAGTCAAATTATGAAATTGGTACAGGGTTGATATCAGTTCTAAATCTCTTTGAATTTTGTTAGAGTTATTAACATTTTAGAAAGATTGACCTTGACTCGAAAATTACGTAAAATCCATAAATCAATTGCCATTAAGAAACAAAAAGCAGAAGACCCACACAAACATGCAATGCTAAATCAGAACAATGGGTTTTATCTTTATCTTTTTATTTGATAAAATGTTATTACATTTGAAGTGTTCCAATCTTGCCTTGAAAATAACTGTACAGTGTACAGTATGTTACACAAAGTTCTGTGTGAAATTATAATTTAATGTTTACTATTTCTTTAAAACCATCTATTAATAATCCTATATTATATTTGAAATTGCCAGTACTAAATAAATCCTTAGTACTGGCAATTTCAATTTCAATTTCAATTTTTTTAGTACAATTTATTTAGTACTAAATACTAAATAAATCCTTTACATTATTGTTTTGCTTCAACTCCTTCTGTAGCTCTTCGGACGAGATAAGGTTTAGGATGTATTTCTACCTAAAGGCACCAGAGGGCCTCCAAAACTCTTCTTGCTAAATAAGACTTTACAACAGAATTGTTCCCTAGCCCATGTGAGGAGTTAGCAAAAGAGAATCATGTGGGAAATTCAGTAAACCACAGGTTGCCCTCGATCTAGTGATCAGCATAAAGGTGACAGCTTTCTGAGAGGAGAATCATCTTCCATTCAGCTTCAGTGGCAGGGTGTGTTGATACTTGATACCTTTTAAATAGCAGTGTTCAAAGAAGGCAGCACTGTAAAGACTCAACATCTTTCATCCTACTTACGGTCTTGCTGTTAGTCCAGCCTGTTACAGACTGCTAGATAACTTGCAGCCCTATTAATTCCCACAGAGATACCTCAAAACAAGGATTTTCCTCAGATCAGCAGAGTTCCCTTTGATTTGAGTCCATCAAAGAACAAGCAGGCACCAACATTTTTCAACACAACCTGTAATGATTGTTTTGCAGATTGTCCCTGTACAGACAGTCAGCTGGGCCAGTCACTTGCTGGGAGTCAGCTATTGCTCTTCAACAGCTCCTGATTATTCAAATGTGTGCTCCTTCTCATCAGGTGAGAGTGCACGGAGAGACAGACAGAGCCAAACACAAAAGAGAATCGATGGACAGTCCAAAGACAACGAGCCAACAAAAGTCTTTTCATAAGATTCCATGTTCAAGGAATAAAAAAAGCAGTGCCTCTCTGTGACTTTTGTCCACAAAAATACCGATGTGGTGCCTAATATTTTCCAGCCTGTGACAGTCCCATTTTCTCTTCACTTACAACTCTTACTTTTTCTGCTTGGTGCTCTCTCAGGTATGGAGGGTTGGCAATAATTTCCTCCATTAGGCCTACACTTTCCTCTCACCTCTCTGTGCCGATGTCAAGAATGTTCCTTCCAAGTCAATTCATATCCATGAAGACTACACTAACTCTTCCTCAAGGTCACCCCCATCCATCTGAAGCTGAAGTGCCCTTACCTTAATTCCGTAGCGTTCCCGGACCGCGACCCGCATGGATAGAGATACTGCCGGAATTACGCCATTGAAGGCATCCAGCAGCGGCAGACATAGGCATTCTCCGAAGTCCCTGGCTGTCTTACAGGCATAACACGGGAAACACCAGAAGCCACAGCAGCCTAAAGCAAGAGAAATGTTTTTGAGGCAACTTCTATTACTGGGTCACCAGCTAGCCCACCTCTACACTGTACATGGGTACAGTACAGAATATAAGTCATTTTGAAAAAAAGCAGCAGCCATATAAACGAGAACCAAGGAGTGGCCAGGAGTGCTAGTGAGAGCACAATTATAATTAATCATCCATCCATTTTCTAAACTACTTCTTCCAGTTCAGAGTTGGAAGCATAGGGGAGCCAGAGCCTATTCCAGCAAGCAACAGTAACAGGCACAAGGCAGGATACACCCTGGACAGGACACTAGTCCATCACAGGGCACACACAGACACTCACACCAGGGTTGGTCTTCACCGAAGCCAATTAGCCTACCAGTATTTCTTTGGACTACGTGATGAAACTGGAGCACCCAGAGGAAACCCATGTAAACATGGGGAGAACATACAATCTCCACACAGGTATCATCCCAGGTCTGGATAATTATTTCTCTATTAAGTATTTCTTTTTGAAGTGTTTAAGTATAGTCTGATTATATGATCACAGAAATTGCTCTGTCACCTAACTCAATTAAAGGAACATTTTTAACAGCTAGCAGCAGAAAGACAGAAAATCTTTTTTCAATTTTCTGTAGTTATCCCAGTCCTACGCGCCAGTGTTTGAAGCAGGAAGACTTTATCTAACAATGATGTACAATGGAATGTTATGTTTCACCGCATTCTTTAAATTTACAGCACCTGTCTATTTTTATCATTTTATCTGATCATTTCTAGTGGAATATGGTGGTGTAAAAATAAAGTTTGCAGAGCTGTGACAATGTTTCCTGGAATGAATGGCTCACCTTGAACAAGAAAAGTGTCTCAGACTGTGTGAGGGAGATCCTTTAGTTTGCTAGTTAGTCCCAATTACTCCAAATCACCATCTACAAGACTGTGCTGAGGTGCCAACTAAAACTATTAAAATAATTGCAGTTGACTTCAGCTGGTGCCCCAAGATTATTCCTGACACAGGGGAGTAAATTGTACCAAACACTTCAGTCTAGGTAGGACAGTTAAAAAGACCTGCCACAATTAGATGCATTAAAGCTAAATTTTGTTCCAGATATTGCTAATCTTCTAAGATGTAAGTGGATGAAAAAGGTTAAATAATGGGTGGCACATTGGCACAGTGGCAAGAAGCGTTGCCTTGCAGCATTGAGGCCCTGGGTCCAATTCTGGGTGGTATCTATATGGAGTTTGTATATTTTTGCTCGGTTTACTCAGGGTGCTCAGATTTCCTCAGTCCACAAACATACTGGTACGTAATTAATTGGCTTCTGGGAAAATTGACCCTGGTGTGTGTACTGTAAGTGTCTGTGTGTCTGCTGTGCGAAGGAATGGCATCCAGTCCAGGGTGTACCCTCCTTGTGCCTGTCGGGATACACTTGGGCCCCTCTGCGATCCTGAATTGGATGAAGCAGTTAGAAAATGTTTGAATGGATGTTTTAATAATGTGTTCTAATAGTTGTTGCAAATAATGTGTCCTAATAGTTGTTGCTAATACTATTAGTATTAATAGTGGAACTAATTGTGCAGGAGGAGGTGATTTCTTTTGATACTTTTTATATGTCTGTGCACAGGAGTCATTTAGATATAACAAGAAGTTATTTTTTTCGTTTGGTGAGTCTAACAGCCTACTATGAAGAGTGTGTGTACACAATTTAGGAATTAAATAAGGACACGCTTCTCCATTAGTCTTTACTAAGGTTACTGATTCAAATATGTTAAGATGTTTGAGCAGCACACTTGATTGAAACAGAAGCTTGAAAGGAAATTAAAAGAGGATTCAGCTTTTTTATGCATCTAAACTGGGGCTCTTCACTGTTAGAAATGGTCAGACACTTAGAGAAAAGATGGCATGACAAGACAGCAGTCATTGCGAGAGACACTTGCCTGGTTGGGGTGTCTAGAAAAGTATACAGTACATCAATGGGTTGTTGGTTAATATTGTTATTAGATAGATCATACAGGATAAGTGCACAGATTTGCCTTGATCTCTCTGATAACCTTATTAACTCATGATCCCTTGTATACACAGGAGGGTGGTCTGGACACTTGCTAATTTATCATAAATTTGTTTAGTTGCAATTTGGTCTGGCTGATGGGATTTTGTATGGAAGAAGAGCAGAGCAGGATCAAACTGAGACAAAAGCTGGATTTACAGGCTCACTGTTTTATTGCCCTTTTCAATCGAGTGGGCGGGGTGTGCTAATCACAGAGCAGGGTATTAGCTTTAAAGGCAGAAAGAAAGTGTGGGCATCCCCTGGACACAGAGGAGGGATTCATGTTGTTTATTGTAGCTGATCACTATAACTTTGTGATTACTGATTAGCTTATCATTGTTATTTTAATTAAGCCCATGCTTTAGTATTTTATTTAAAGCCCATGCTTTAGTATTTTAATTTTTTTACATACCGTATGTCTTTTATCCACGGATACTCTATACTGTAGTATATTACTGTATGTGACGGTAAAGGGATGTGAATTTGACTGTTCTTCACTGAAACCTTGTGAATGTCGAGACCCTGTTGTATAGTCTTCTAGACATCTCAAGTATGCAATCTTCTCTGACAACAACTGCTTAGGTTACAGCAGATGGGCAGATGCTCATGACATGACACGACATTAGTCAGGCAGGAGAGGGGCACTCACACTCGCCCAAGTCCTCACAGCAGTCGCAGATCCCTGTGCTCCACTGGTCTGACTCGATGGCAGACTTCACTGGCTGGGGCTGCTGGATAACAAACTTTGTTGCCATTCTCACCTCGGGGGAAAAAGGGAAGGAATTAGCAGTTCCCACCATAACAAATTTCAGTAGTTTGTTCAAATTTTAACAATGACGAAACGACGTCATGAATATAAAGTAATAATGTACTTAGTACTTTAGTGTTAACTCTCCTAATTGAGAAAATGACAGCACTGGCTGAAGATCACTTATAAGGAATTAACCAAGGAGGCAGCTGCAATGGTGAATCTGGGGTGGAGGGAGGTGAGCTACAAAAGATTTAAAAAGGAAGTCTTTAAACGTGAGAGAGAAAGTATGACATTAGACTTTGACCTCCTCTGTTAATCAAAGTCTTTTGTTTTAAATGGTTTTGTCATCCTTTTCTTTGGTGAATCTATCCCAAAACATTAAACAGCGTGTTCCGAAGAGTCACCAGGATTAGTCTTTTGTTACTGTAATCATCAATAATTCCTATAAAGCTATAATTTTAAGAAGATGTTATCAAAAATCAGCTCCATCTACTAGATTTTGAAGCAAATTTTTAGACTTTATTTACCCCTTTCAGAATACTCATTGTTTCTATAGAGTTTTCCATGGTTGGATTCTGAAGCCAGACAGTGCTGTTATGACCTACAATTATGAATTCAGTTCACCCAGTAAAATGCCCTGCATACTCAAAGGGGTACAAATGTAAGGCACTGTGGATAAATGTGTCACCCAAATGAATAATTATCCATTCCTTTCCGAACCATTATCAGAAAGTCAGTTAATGATGACAAGTGTTCTGGAAGCATAGTAACTAAATTACATTTTAGATAGCATAGCTTAGGACACACACTATGACAAAGAGACAATTTAGAGACACTAATTAACTTTAAGGATTCCAAGGCACCCAACATAAACCCATGTGAATATACAAATTAAATAATAGGTACATTTTTTAGTACCAAGTTTTATTCATTGTCTTTTTTGTAAATCACAGACCAGATCAGTAACAGAAAACAGAAAAAGAAAATCCAACAATCCAAGAAGCATCACTCCATAGGTAAAAAAATAAATGAACAGAAGTTAAAATCAATCAGATTTTTGTTTTCAACATCTACCACAATATCAAATTTCCAGACTCGCACAATCCATGCATTAAAAGTCACATACAGTCTCCTTAAAAGGGAAAGAGGAATAAAATGAAGTTATCCTTATTTCTGCAGAACCTGAATTAGCTATTGCTTCAGTTCTAATGAGCAGATGCTGTTCTGCTGCGTTGAGAACAGACGGTACAGCAGAAAAACCTAGACATCAGCCTTCTTTAGTGATCACCTCGGTCCTGACAAGATCCATCTCTGGACTGTATTCTCATCAGATCACATAGCAGATCACTCAGTTGAGTGAAGAGGGCCAGATTGTTTGGAAGATAATCTAAAAATAAACACCCTGCGCTTGTCTGGGCCTCCAGAAGAGTCATCTTCACATATCATGTTGGGTTCTTTTGGCCTCTTAACATTCCAGACATACCAGCTTCTCTTCATGAGTGTTCAGAATTTTATTTTGTGCCTGGAATTCTCCTGAGACATCATGCAGTAAAGATTACCCAATGGCTACCTATTATCTGAGTGTGGAAATTTCTCAGCATTCCGGCTGGTCAGCTCCACGATCTCAGTTTTCACAAGCCACGCCTGCTGACCACCGCCTTCTCTAGCAAAGTGCCCATCTTTGCCAGTCCAGAATCAGCCTTATTAAGCTTTTTCTTAGCTGGGGAAGAAGCTGGAGAAAAGGCTGACTCAGTTCTTGTCCCTGCTACTTCATATAAACCTGGGGCTTAAACCGAGCACAAAGTTAAGGTATGCTACAGAACAAAAACAAAACAGTACGCAGGAAATTAGGATATCGAATTAAAAAATATGGCTGAGCATCTTATTTCATACTCTCAAAACCCTTTGAGTAAAGTAGTGCCTCTATTTTCTTGGTTTTTGCTGGCCAGCTACAGTGAACAACACTTTTGCCATTTAGTTGTCAACATTGTTTATTAGCTCTGAATTGAAGTCTGAATTTAAGGTTAGATATGTCAAGTTCTGTGGAGAGTCAATGCTGTTTAGGCACCTAAACACAGTTCCTTGTCTCTTTTCTCTTCTAACAAATCTTCAGCATTGTGGATCATAAGTGCACAACTGAGTATTGGTTACAGGCAAAGGGAATAAGCACCTGTTAGTTTAAGTGAAATTCTAGTATAGCAGTTTTCTGTGCTTTCCTATATGGAAATCCTGAAGTAAAAAGTACTATTATAGTGATCCAGTGTCTCCTTGTGGGCAAACTCAGAATTCCATATCCAATCAGTCTGATGTGCCAAACAAGCAATAAAAAGGGGTTTGGTCCCTCTAATCTCATCACAACATGCAGGTCATGTAATCCCAAATAATATCCATCCATCTACTGCAACAAACACCTACTGTTGCATAAAACAGGAGACAAAGGATGCAAGACAGGCTATAATCCTTGGTGGGATGCCAGTCCATGACAGGACTCCAGTACACACATATGGTATTAGAGACCATAAGACCCATGTAACTATGGAAAAACTTATGTTAAACTCCACACAGAAGGTGCCCCAGGCATGTACCAAATGCAGTGCCCAAGACATGCAAGGCAGCGATGTAATGTGATGTCACCCAGTAATATCTAGTTTTAAAAACGATATTTGAATAACATTAACTTACTTAATTTAACTTATTTAAACTAAACAATGCTGAAATATTAAACAAGAAGACAGTAAAATGGAGGTCTGTTACCTGATAAAAGAATGCCAATTTTAACTCAAGTAGATCAAATCCCCCATTATTGTTATACACATATGCAATATTTCTGTTTCTACACTTTACCTTTCCATTTGAACTTAGTGGCTTCTCTTTCTCCTAATACATTGGAATCCATAGACTCATACGTGTAGACATCTTAAGCCCAAAGATTTACAATATATGTATATCAACAATTAATAACAATGTACTCAAAGTCTCCTATAGTGTTTGCTCTTAAAAAATAATTATGACTGCTCTTAATACAGCTCAGATTCTCATGTAGCACCACTAATTCTCATTGATCAGAATTACATTATCATAACAGCTCAAGTGTTGTACCAGCTAATCCATCGCACCCACTAATCAGATCTAATTAATTTCCAGATTTTCCTCTTGACATATTCATGAAGCTTTTGTTATAAAGGTCCTCAGATCTATCAGGATTCGCTTAGTTTAAAAGTAAAAATACATGTAACTTAGTTTAAAACAAAATGAAATAACATTTCAGGAGCACATCACCATTAGATGTGTTTTGTGTAAGAAAGGAAAAAAAAACACTGACAAAAACTAGTAGAATAATGCTAAAAGTCCAAGACACCACAATAGTGTATTAATTATTAAATGATACGAATACAGGTTTGTTTTTCTTCAAAAACAAGAAATGTCACATGAATACATATACTCTCTGGAGAAAAATAAATGATCTTTAAAACTGTTACTGCTTCCTTACTGCTATCTTACCTGTTTACTGATCCTAGCAAGATCTCGGCAGTAGTGTGCTCAGATGATTAATCCAGCTGTTTTAAGACCGACAAGGAAATTGTCTGGAATATAAGTGGAAGCTCCTTTGGTCCAGCAATGCATTCTTATAACCAGCCATGCAAGCTTAACCTGATTTTCTTTCACGACATTCTGATAGCCACTGACAGCATGTCTTTTGTTATTCATCACTGAAGGGGGAAGGTGAAGGTTCAACAGATTTCTTAGAAGACTTTGTTATAGTGCTAAAGATATCTGTAGGTTTTGCAAAAGAGCCTAAATGTTATTGGGTACCCAAATGCATGTTACTGTTTGAAAATGGTATTCAAAATGAAGAAGTTCATGTGGGTTTCCTCCCACAGCCCAAAGGCATACTGGTAGGTTAATTGGCTTCTGGGAAAACTGGCCCTGGAGTAGGTGTGTGTCTGTGTCTGTGCGTGCCCTGCGATGGACTGGTGTCCTGTCCAGGATGTATCCTATCTCACACCCATTGCTTTTTGGGATAGATTCCAGCTCCCCCACAATTCTGAATTGGAAGATGTGGTTAGAAAATAGATGGATGAAAGAAGAAAAGATGTATGCCATTCTAGGACTGAGTGGACAAGGAGACTTTTTGATTCATAAACTAAGTTCAGTAATTGAGTTTAATTATAATGCTTGGATTGTTCTCTTTTTGATTGTAAGCCTTATTTCTGTAAAATGGAACAATTAAAACTGTTTGTATTGAAAGAATACAAAGTATTATAACAATACTATAACAACACATTATCCAAATGGAAACTGCAAATAATAAATAATAAAATGAATTAACAACTACAGATGTCCAAGTTTGAAGTTCATATTTTGTCCTCAGTTTGTTTAGTATTATTTCATTTGTGTCATGCTATTTGTGCTCTGTCACCTGACCAAATGACTTAATGTAACTTTCACATAGTTTCAGTACTGTCAACAGCAACAGGAAAGTTGAGACCTTTATGATTATATTTGATGTGACCACACAGATAATAGGGATTCTTTACAAGACCTAAAGCATAAGAATAAAGCTATGCATGTGTCAGCTCTATGAATCTCAAGATCCAAGTATAATTTTCTCATCACTGCAGATTGTGGCATATAGAATTGAACAAAGAGCCCAATACCCATAAATAGACCACATGCAGAGAAATTGTACCTCTTTCTGCACAATTGATGTTCACTGCATTTTAATCATATGTTCATAACTTTCATGGTTATGCTGTTTCTAAGAGCAACCATTAAAACTATTACATCTTAATACTTTTGTAACTAATTACACTTTCTCCAATCTTGCTTGCTGACTTGTTTTTTTTAGGCTGACATATCTTCAAATTCTGTAGCTTATTAAGTAAAGAATTGCTCCTTAAATTCTCAATCTTATTTTCTCAAAATGCCCATGAATTTGATACTCCTAGCTACTTTCACTTGTTATGTTACCTTTTAGAAACAGAATTTATTTTCTAGAAACTCATCAATTTAGAATGAAGACTGTATTTGAATATAAACAAATGTGAACTATATCCATATTTGGTCAATAAAGAACTCTACTCCAGCGATATTGTTTCTGTTTGATTTATTCTGAATTGTTTTAAGTGATATAAGTAGTGTTTTAGTGTGTGTTTGAACAATAAATACTGCTACTTATTTGGTGGGTTATCTGCATTTTTGAAAAAATGCCTTTCAACTTCTTTTGAGACTGAACACATCCATTGAGAATAACCAACTTTTTAAAAGTATTTCTCACTTCTCCATACTACCCTCAACAATACTACTACTAATATTACAAGTAATAGTACTACTAATAGTAATCATAATATTACTAATACTACTAGTAGTAATAGTGCTACTATTAATAATAAATTACAAATAATGGGGGCTCCCCTTCACCAACACCAATGGTAGTTCCAGCTGGATGATATGACGGAGGCCATAGTGCGCCAATACACTCACCACACACCAGCTATCAGTGGGGAGAAGAACAGAGTGTTGAAGTTAATCCATTGATGGGGAATAGTAGGAGGCCATGACTAGTTAAGGCCAGGAGGGAAAAATTGTGAGATGCACAATTTTTTTTTATATAACTGCAGTGTCAACAAATGAGGAACTTGGACTAAGATTAAATAAAAAACTGACTCATGATCCACCTGATGAGGAGGGAAGTTTTCTTGTTCCTTCTTCATACTGTTCTGCGGGCGTGGTGTGCGCAAACACTGTGACGGGAGGCTCCGATTTGATCTCAGACTTCATAGATGAATTGACATCTTGATTACACTCTGCAAAACCTCAGGTGGACAATAACAGGGATGAAAAGCCCTTTTGTACAGCAGTGATCTATAGTCCAACTACTCTAGGTGGCTTCAATCGTGCTTAAAGATAACATTTATCTTGACTAATGAGCTCATAATTTGTTACATTAATTAACTGAAAGGTGTAGTTTCAAGACACCAGAAGATTCTGTAAATTAGGTATAAGCACCAAATCTTCTCAGGAATTGAAATTTCTCCTGGTTTGATGCACATCTGATCTTCATAACGTCCTAATTTACATAAGAGCCAAATTATCTGTTTTCATGTTTCATTCGCTTGTTAAGGAAAAACTGTCTATAAATCCTGTAGGGTTCCAGCAATTGAGAATTAAAGGAGCCAATCCCTGATATAAATTATATAAATGATATAAATAGCCAGTCCTGGTACTACTGTAGGTGCTGCTAAAAAATCTACTTTTCTTGATCTGCTTGCAGGAACAAACTGTTACAGTAGGTCCGAGGGCTTTGCCAATGGATTGTTGCACAGTACGTTGTCCCTCCACCTTCCCCCAAGTCATTCTTGTGGGAAAGGAGATTCCTCCCTATGTCAACACACTTCCACCATCCTACTGGTTGGCTTGGTTTCTGCAATCGGCAGCAAAATGGTGACTGTGACATCTCCACGGGGTCTTCTATTACACTTCACAAATGCAAGATAGTATTCATTATTGTCCATTTCTCGGTTTGTGATGAAAAAGGCAGTGGTCCGTGAGCCATGTGTTGAACCCAAGTGCTGGACGAAACAGGAAAACAGTGTAGCAGCAAGAAAGCATGTAAATACAGTGCGTTCTGGGTCTACTACCAACCACAGCGTGTAATTCCCCCACCCCGCCAAAAAAAACCCAATTCCACATATTTATTCATGTAAGATGAGTACACAGTTTTTACTGAAAAAATGTTTTAAAACAAATTGCTAGTGTTTATCAATTTCAACTAAATGCGCAGGTTTGACAGTTCTAAGTAGCAGTGCGGAAATTGATGCTTCCAGATTACACAATCTTCGGTCCTTTAACTCCCAGTGACACCTCTTAAATTCCATTTATTTCTAAGTTTTGTGAGCGGAATTTATTTATTTTTTGTATTATGCTTATTAAATAACGGTTATATCGAATGTCAGACTGTTTTATTTAATTATATTTTTAATGTTAAAGATCTCGATATTGGCGGTCATGAGATTTAATGACATTCAAAATTGTTTGTATGGAATCTTTTATTAAAAATAAAAATACGATGTTATTCACATAGTAGCTTACATCAACAATATTGTTCTCCTGGAATCCCCGTGCGAAACAGGAACTAAAATACTCACATGTGTATTTCACTAAACACAGGTGTCTTGCATCGAGTGGTGCAGTATAAAAGTGTCGCTCTCGGGGACAGAGGATAGATCGATTACGGTGATCAGGCATCGTACTTGAAAAGAAAACCAGCCTTGAAATCGAATTAGTGCGAAAGATTTGTTCCAAGAGGCAGTTAATAAGCGTTTAAAGAATACTCGTTAAATCCGGAGCGTCTGAATGTTGACGATCCAGTTTGGTGTTTTCCTAAATAAGTCATTATTTTTCTAGTTTGCTTTTCGGTATTGTTTTGTTAAACAACACACACTATAACTTTTCTGAACCGTGTTCTACAATATCCACAGAAGTATTATTTTTCTCCAGCCGCTAACTTTCGTAAAATTCATACTCTTTATTAATTTTACGTTTTCATAAGTAAAATAAACTGATTTTGTCTTGAAGTGGAATTGGTGCCTAATGGGGAAGTCCGGCACTGGGTGGAATCGCAGGGAAAAGGAATGGACACCC